GGACCCCACGCCATTTTACGCTCTACCTGATCGATAATAATTCACTTTGAAAAACGTTCCGCGGGGCCTGCCCTGCATGTAACGTGTAAGAGTAATGGTGATGCAGATTTTTCTTCCCCCCCCCCCCCCCCCCTTCAAACCGTTTTTGCTCGTTACGTCGATCACTGCCCCTGGAAGGTGAGCCTCCGGCGCTCCTGAACAGAACGTAATTATAGTCTGTCGGATTTAGGGGGATCTCCAAGGCAGGAAAAGCCCGCGAAAAGCCCGCGAAAGGGGGGTTCAGATAGGGGTGCTTTCAAAGAGAGGGAACAAGCATACACGTACCCTAAATAACACTGAGTGGGAGGGCCGGGGAATTTGATAAGAAAAGAACAAAACAGAGAATTCTTCATGTTTGTTTTACCTCTTGAATTAACCGTTCGTTCGTTCACAGATAGAAGAAGATATCTAGACCATGGATATCCCTCCAGAAATGCTGAAAATGTAAATTAGTATACATTATTATGAGGAAATAAAGAAGACCAGAAATAATAATTTTCCACACCCAAAAAATAGACAACAGGCTTTTGAAATTCCCCAGACTCTGATTAAAAAAATAAAAAATGACATGAAATAAAACGAAATAAATTCTATCACCATAATAATATTTTCAAAGATTTTTTTTGTATGTATTGCGTCAAATCACTCAAATCCAACATTTTTGTTGCTATGATAAATGAGTCACTTACCGAATCAAAATACAATACAAAAGAGAATCTTTTTTTTTTTTTTGGAGTCCAAAAAAAAATCGCAACGACTCAGCCAGCCGAAAAGTCGCTCAGTGGGGGGGGGGGGGGGGGGGGGGGGGGGGGGGGGGGGGGGGGGGGGGGGTAAGCGGGCACTTTTTTTCTTTTTTTTTTGAGTCCAAAAAAAAAATCGCAACGACTCAGCCAGCCGAAAAGTCGTTCAGTGGGGGGGGGGGGGGGGGGGGGGACACTGGGGGGGGGGGACACTTTTTTCTTTCTTTTTTTGGTCACAAAATTTGAAAATTTGACATTTTTCTTCGTTGGGGGGGGGGGGGGGGGTAAGGTCACCTTTTTTAGGTTAGCCGTGGGCATATATATATATATATTTTTTTTTTTTAAATAATTAAAAAAAAAGGGGGGGGTTTAGGTTTTTTTAGGGGGGTTTACACACATAAAAATACAAAAGGGGGGGGTTTGAACCCCCAACCCCCCCCCCCTGCGTACGCCCCTGTGATCACGCCATCATCGGCTGGTAGCAAGTAAGTAGAGGGAGGTAGTGTTGGTGTTGTGGATATCAACATTAAATAGGCCAGATTCTGGACTAGGATTACTTTAGAAAATAACTTATAAAATATAAACTAACATGTGGATCAATTGAAATTACGAAAATTCCACTACAAAGATTTTCTTCACGGTTCACCGTGTGAGACGACGAGGTCGCTATAATTGTGTTCGCTTAATTAGTCTAAATTCACGTCTGTCCCCCCCCCCCCCCCGCTCTTTTGAAAAATTCTGGCTATATAGGCTTATAGTAGTAGAGTGAAAGAGAGAGAGAGAGAGAGGCAAAGGGGGCATGATACTCTCACAATTTTACAGAAAAACATTAAAAGTTCGCCGTGCTACATTATAGGGGCATGATACATTCCATTGCGTTTCTCCCCTTTCATATTATTTTCCATCCTGTCAAAATGTAAAGTGCATTATGCAACGATTTGAAAACAGAAGACTTCATTTCCCCTCCAAAACAAATACAATCATACATTTACCCTAAATATAAATATTTCAAATAAGTATGTTTCTTTGATTCCGTCATCAATAATTACGATGAAAATGAGAGTCTATGCAATTTAAGTAGGCTTACAGCGGTACAGAGTAATGGAGAGGATCTCGCAATATACGTAGCCAATTTGAGTTCAGTTCATCTCAGTTCAACAAAATAATATACATGTATATCTTTTTCAACAACTTTTTATACAGCTTATATTTCAATTATAGTTATAATATTGAAGTAAACGGGCAACATGTGAATTTAAGTCACTTTACTTTTTTGCACTATTTGCATCTGTGTTTTAAATTTTTATAGGATTTGATTTGATTTATTCTTGTTCATTTGGTTTTCAGACTGCCCCCCCCCCCCTGGTAAAAAAAAAGATGGTAACGTTAATTCTACCTAAATGACCCCCTCCTCCTGGCAAAAAAAGAAGAACAAAATCAAACTGGGGGGGGGGGGGGGTGGCGCGTAGGAGTCCGGGGGATGTTTAACATTATAACATGCCCATATGAAGTACCACATGTGATTTTTAGGGGCAAAAAAGGGGGAGGCCGGGGCATGGTCTCTTTGTCCAGGCGCGGATGACATTCTCCAGGAAGACCTTCAGTACACCGCGTGTCTCTTCGTAGATGAGACCAGAGATCTCTTTCTTAGGGGAGGGGGCCCAACTTTTTTTTTTCCCGAAAATTTGAAAATCGCGCCGGCCGAAATGTCGCTCAGTGGGGGGGGGGGGGGGGGGGGGGGGGGGGGAGGGGGGGGGGGTAGTTGGCAAATTTTTTTTTTTGGTCCTCAAAATTTTTTCAATTTGCCACCCCCTAAAAAGGTAAAAATCACGTGAATTTACAAGATTTTTTTCTCAAGGGGGGGGGGGGGGGCCCGGGCCCCCTGGATCCGCCACTGTGTCCCCCCCCCCCCCGCCCCGACCCTCTTTTCAACTCTGATAAGTGTCATTTCTTTGTTGGTGCCCCTCCCCCACTTTGGAAGACGTTCGGCCGCCCCTGCATTGGGGACAATTAGCATCGTGATATTTTCTATTTGCTGTAAGTTGTAGCCCCGGCCTACTAATTATGTCGGTGCTAACTTTGGCTTTAACTGCAGAATATGTTTTGTTCAGTAATGCAATAGTGTTTATGTTGTAGTACATGTAGGGCACACATTAAGGCTAGCAGACGACGAACGACGGCTGGACCTAGCAGACGTCATAGCCCTCAACTCTAGAGGGCGGCATTCCACTTCAGACACGCTGCACACTAGCACTGCCAGACACCATAGAGACTCTTTGCCAGACACCGACTGAATCTCTTCTAGATCTATGGATGACATTACCCACAAGGATTTCAGGTGAGTGATAAACAGTCAGTGATGTGTGAGAAGTAGGTGCTCGTGTCTACTTTAATGTCAAATGAAAGCCCTGGTCATGTCAGTCTGGCTGACACAAGTCACTCAGCCTCATGCAGTGAGTGTCAGCTCAGATCAGCGCAGCACTGTCATGTCTCTGAGCTCACTCCAGCAAAGCATAACAAATAGAGTCCATGCTATTGTGTATTGATCTTTAGTACTGCATACTTGCTGAGAGGCAGGTATTTATACACAAATCCACACACCACACACACATAGACTACAGGGAAATGGCGTCAACCGTGGACCAAGTTAAGTACTTGTGTGTGTGTGTGTAGGTAATCACCAGCAACCGCGGACCACTCCATAGAAAACTACATCAAACCGCGGACGTACCTCCTATGGGATGATCCAGGTAGCGAGCGCCTCTCCCGCGCAGTCAAAAGGGGGCGCTGTGACATTTCCCGATACACATTGGACTGATCCAGTCGATGTTGCCTACACGCTGTGACATCTTATATTCAAACGCCCCCTACGTCATAAATTTGATACGGCGGAACCGGTATCGCAACCGTGGACGGTCCCCCATTGCAGGTACGTCCGCGGTTTGAGGTAGTTTTCCTACGCACTATTGCATAGACTGCACACAATGGGACCGATGGGGCTGATCGGAAAATGTTGACTCTAGTTTAGACTTGCAATTTAAATTTTTAAATTATTCTCTTTAACATCAGTAAGTTCAAAAAATTGTATTTTACTGCTATTTAGGGGACATCAGTTGTCTCTAAAGTACCGATTTTGAGTGAAATCAGTTGAGTTTTGTACAGTGGTGTTTGAAATGTTGAGAATTAAAAGCACAGCTTTTATTACACAGCTAGAAATAGGATAGTAAAGTAATGCAGCTATGTGTGACTGAGCTGAGAGTGAGAGACTGTAGTCAGTAGGCCTACTTAGCAAGTAGGCCTACCTACGTCATACATGATGTACGTAGACTATTCTATAGCGTATAGGGTCTAGGTCTAGCTTTTGTGCAGTCTACAGTACACTCAAGGCAAGGCCAAGATAAATTAATAGGCGCTTTTTCAGAAATGTATCCAAAATTTTACCCGTAACTGAAGTACATTACTAAATATTCATTAAATGTCCAAATGAAGATCATTAGTTAAAATTCGTTATATTTATTACCTGTTTCGTGTCAATTTTCTTGTTATTTTTGGAGTATTTTTCGGGAAAACTGATAATAGTATACACTTTTCCACCACTCCAACAAGGCATAGAGAGTCAATGCTGCGAAGGATACACTCCGCAGTTCTCCAATCCTGGAGGAAATCAAGAAGAAGAAGAAGAAGCTAATGCGTATTGACCTCTAACATTGCATGCTTGCTGTGAGGCGGGTATTATTATACCTATACACAAATATACACACCACACATTATTGCATAGACTCTACACAGTCATGTCGATGCAGCTGTAAGCAAAGTTTGACACTAGACTTACAATTTGAATTTTTAAATTATTCTTTTTAACATCAGTAAGTTAAAGAAAATGTATTTTACTGCTATTTAAGTGTCATCAATTGTCACTAAAGTACCAATTTTGAGTGAAATCAGTTGAGTTTTGTACAGTGGTGTTTGAAATGTTGAGAATCAAAAGCACAGCTTTTACTACACAGTCAGGATAGTGATGATCCTATGTGTGTTTTCCACAGGTTTCACGGCAAACCGCCTCACAATACAAGTGCATACTACCGATGGTGGGTTGCGGGCTCAGATCCTCATTACGGTAGATAACTTCACACAGGCGTGTGCCCGCCCGCAACACACCATCGGTATGCACTGTTATTTCGCAGACATTTTTTTTGGTTTTTTTTTGTTGTTACGTGAAAGAGATTTGATAGCTATAGTAGAACCATTTTATAAAACAAATAATACACAGGTCTTTCGTTTGTGACGTTATGGTGATGCAGCGCTATTTGGATATTCACAATGGCACAAAATTCACTCGGCTATGCCTCATGAATTTTGCACCATAGTGAATACCCTCATGCGCTGCATCGACCGTAACGCACTCACACCTGTGTATTATTTGTATAACAGTTGATCTGGAAAACAACTGCACTGTATAAGGAAATGGATCTGCTTGCTATAAATAAAAATTAAAAAAATATTAATAAATCAATGTTAAAGTTTCAAATATGAGACTGGCAATAGAAAATCCTGAAGCTTTCGGTCTCAGTTTAGTTAACACTTGAAGAAGTCACACCCCCCCCCCCCCCAAAAAAAAAAATGTATATTATCTGGAATGAAACTAATGGAATTGTTGTTTAATTACACAAAACCTTCAAGTTCACAGACAATCAGACATCTCATTGAAACGTGTGTTAATCATTGCAACAAGATGTATATTGTTGGTGAACTTTTGCTTTTGTGATCATACAATTGTATGCTGCCCTGGGGGAGGGGGGGGGGTGTTTTACAAAGATCTTTCAATCACCGGTAGACTACAGTTGAAGAGTTACTGAATGATCTAGCAAAGTATGTTCTCCTTAAAAGCATCTACGTAAGATCGAGAATGCACATTTGCTTATAAGCCTCATTTTGTCACAAGTCATCGAAGCTCAATGATAATTTATGTTCCTCTTTGTCTTGACAGCTAGAGTAGTCTGGTGCAGGAGTAATGGATGATGATAGATCCAAATGGTGTTTCCACACTCTGGGTACATACATCAATCATGATGATTGGCACAAAACACCAGAGGGCAAGGACTACTTTGCAAGTATCCTCAGACATGGCAAGAGGAGAGTGTTTGGTAAGAGGTTAATCATGGTTACATATTGAGTGTGATTATTAAACAAGCTGGGAATGTTTTGTAGACCTGTATAATATGTACATGTACATTGCTGAATGATGCGATGCCATTTAGTCTACTTTAGACCGTGAAGGCTGCAATTTTTTCCCCGATAACTATGGCGTTTTTTAATGCCGCAAAGTGCAATGATTATGCACAAATTTCTTTTTCGTGTGCCAGATTTCTCCAAATGAACATTGGGATTCAGATTTTGCGTATTTTTGAAGGTAATCTTAAGATGTCTATTGCATAGTGCCCCGCACCACGTGAACGCAAATGACAAACTAGGCCATTTTGGTGCCTCGTCCCACGCCCTAAAGTAGACCCAATGGCAATATGGCAATCATTCAGCAATGTACGTACATGTCTTCAAAACATTCATAATGTACATGATCAAGCAAAAGGTGTAGGGTACACAATTATATGTTTATAGAGCAATATAAGAAAAGCAGTATTTCTTCAGAAACATAAATAAATGACATGGACTACTAAATGCCCTGTGGTCTCAACAAAAATCTACTTTTACAACTTGACATTTTATGTTTCAGTTAATATATTATTTATTTCACAAACCATGATAAAACATTGTATACATGTAAATGATTATCTGATGGTTCAACAAGTTCAAAATCGCACAAGATAATTGAATAATACAGAGAAATATTCCTTTTGTAAAAATATTGAGGGGGTAAATAATATTGTGTGCTACATTAAAAATGGTTTGAGAGGCATTCCTACAAATCAAGCATGGGGCAAATTGCATTCTGTGGTGGTGGCGTGAAAGTCCTTAATTTTTGTAAGGGGGTCAAAATCCCCCTCCTCCCCTCCTCCCCTCCTCCCATCCTCCCCCAGTAACAATAGAGATGAATTGAATTTCCTCGATGGGAAATGAACTTTCATTTTTTAACTTGTACCTTTTGTTATAGGTTGTCTGGAGAGTCCATTGACATTGGTACCATCCCATCTAGAGCAACCAAAGATAATGAAATACAAGCTGTGTTTGGTTGGAAAGACTGGCGTAGGAAAGAGCAGCACAGTGGCCAAGCTATGTGGACAACGAGTCCCTACCACCCATGTTGAAACACCTGGTAAAATTGACATCTGTCTTGTTTTGCATTTGTAGCTTTATTGTATTGTATTGTATTTATTAACATTTATTTCCTTCTCAACAGCACAATATAAAACACAATGTATATATACATGATATATGTAACAATTATTTCAACATAAGAGTATACAGTAATTAATTCAGATACGGAAGGAGGCGAAAACCCGGAAAGCGTAGCTTGAGTTGGGAACGCCCATAATAAATTAACACAGTTACCGAAAGAACATTATAGATATTATTATGAAAATTACATTGTATATAACAGAATGTTGATAGGAAAGAAAAAATAGTGAAAGGAAGAGAGGAGAGAATTAAGTATAGGAAGGCATGTTCACTTATAAAGAGAAAGTTACATCAATAAAAAGGCAATAGTGAGAATGAAGCTGCAAATAATAATTGTCAGCATCAGTTTGTCACTACAAAACCTTGGATTATTCACAGTCTGTTATATATATATATATATGTAAGTGTTTGCTAAAGTTTGTAGTTTTAATTTTACTTTTAAATTAATGTGAAAAATGCGCTCATTTTGACTGTTGTTTCACATATTTTTGTTTTCCATGTGTGCCTCAGCATAGAAGTATTAGATAGATAGCACCTTAAAAGTGCCTATTAGTGTTTTTATTATTATCATTGTTATTGTTATAATTGTATCCCCCCGGATCCAGATACCTACCCCCTGGACATCCACCCCCCGGATAACCACCCTCGGTCAAATACCCCCTATAACTACCCCCGAGAACAACTACCCTCTAAGATGACTACCTCGCAGGACATCTCCCCCCCCCCCTCCCCTCGGACAACTAATCCCTAGACAACTACCCCCTAGGACAAATACCCCCGGACAACTACACCCCAGAAAACTACCCCCTAAGACAAATACCCCTAAGACAAATAACCCCAGACAAATACCCCCCAGACAACTACCCCTTAGGACAAATAACCCCGGACAAATACCCCCCAGACAACTACCCCTTAGGATAGTTTTCCAGGGGGGGGGGGCAGATGTCTTAGAGGATGGTTGTCGTAAGGGGTAGTTGTGTGGGGATAGATGTCCAGGTGGTAGTTGTCCTAAGCAGGGCCTCGCGTACACAGATAACGCGTCGTGCGCGCGCCACGCGTTCTTGATTGGCCCGACCTAGCGCCACACGTTCTTAAAAAAAAATAAAAAAAATAAAAAAAATAAAAAAAAAAAAAAAAAAAAAAAAAAATCGAAATTTTGAAAAATCAGAATATTCCGGATGTTCAGGTCCTAGAAATCCCGCAAAACAGAATTTCTGAATTATTTGTAAGAGTTCGCAGGTATGATATTGTGTGCACATAGCTTAGTGCAGCAGCCTAGTCTGTGTGTGTGTTGACCTCAAATCAAACTTTCATTGACGGGTCACAGGTGTATGAATTTCATTTTGAGACGGAGAATTTATTTTACACGAATATAAAGTAAAAGACTTGCAGAAATTTGAGTACTGCAATTTTTGTGAAAATAAGAAAATGCAATATTGTTTTTAATATAAGGAAAATAATTAGGCCTAGGTCTACAGCTTTAAAAAATCCAAACAACTAGGATCATTCTCATTTTGTTTTCTTCGCAACATTGGATAACAAATTTGACAAATTCCAACATAGACAGATAGAATATATTGATAATTTAGATTATTTAGTGCAAGGGTACATATGACAATGACCCGGAATATATTACCATGATAAAAATTCATCAAATTACTTGTACTACTTGCAGCCTGACTACTTGTAAAAATAAAGGGGGGAAAAAAAAAAGAAAAAAAAATTTACTTTTTTTTTTTTTGGGGTGGGGGGGGGGGGGGGGGTCAAATTTTCCCTCGGGTCGCGCGTTTTTAATTTCCTGGCGATAGGCCTGGTCCTAGGAAGTAGTTGACTTGGGGTGGTTATCCGGGGGATGGATGTTCCGGGGGTAGTTGTCCGGGGGGTACATGTAGTTGTCCTAGAGGGTGGTTGACATAGGGGGTAGTTGTCCTAGGGGGTAGTTGACTGGAGGGTAGTTGACTAAGGGTGGTTATCAAGGGGGTGGATGTCCAGGGGTAGGTGTCCTAGAACCTGGAGATGTGTCTTGGTACAATCTACACATCTACACTTTTGGGCTATGCTGCCCTCATTGTTCCGTGTTTTATATATGTCTTTTATGCTCACTAACTGCCACATTACTTGACACATTTCTTTCAAATGTTGTCTAGAGCTGTGTCTTAGTAAAATCTACATATCTTTGGTGTTTCGTGATGCTTATACCTGTGTTCTGTCTGTTATAGGGTCAAAGGTCATATTTTGGTGGCTGTCTTTTGTGCGCTCTATTTGCCACATTTCTTGATAGATTTCTTTCAAATTTTCTACAGAGATTCATTATACTCTATCTACACACATATTGTTTTGGTTATGCAGCTCCTTGTCTTGACAATAGTCTGAGCCACTAGTGGTGATGTCTATGTTATCCTTTTGTTTCAGGGAGGGGAAAGGGGATCTTTGTCCCTCATTCTAACATAACAATGACACAAAAATCGCTGCCACTGCAGGGGGAAACATCTCCTGCTTGGCAATACAGATTGCGATATTTCTAGTTAATAGAATAATAATAACCCATAATAATAATAATTTTTGTTTTTAATCATTATTTTTATTATTATTGTCCTTAATGCCTCGGTCACTTTTGCTCTACAGCTAGGATACTGCGGCCGTATGCCCCCAAAATTGAGAAATACTTGCGGGGGCCGCAGAGAATGTGCGATGGACCAGAGGGTCACGCTAGGGCGTATCCCTATCTTTACAGACTGTACGGGTTGCCGTGGGATTATAACACGAGAGTTATAACTATTTTCATCTCTAGATTCGCCGTAGCGATTAGACACGCCGTAGCCAACTAGCCATGCCGTAGAGTGGTTCTATTGCAACCGTACGTTGGGCGTACGGTAGTCTTGCGTTTTATATACTCCAGGGGTGAAGCAGTAATACCAGTCTGACGGCACGGTCGCTGTATGGTCCCCTTTCGGCCGCCTTGCCGGCACCTTGCGGCTACCTTGCGTGTGCCTTAGTATTTGTCAAAAATTTACGGCCGCCGCAGGGACACTCTAAGGCAACCATGCGTCATCACTTCAAATGCTGTACGGCAGTCGCAGATTTTCTGTATCCACAAATTCAAAATATGCCGTGCGGCTACCCTAACATATGTGACCGCTACTGTATGTGACCGTGCGGCGGTCCTATACTTGCTATTGGCCGTAGATATTTTGGACCGCACGGCCGCGGCGGCAAATGTGAACTAAGCATTACTCTCATTATTGTCTATTACCATCATTCTTCTTATTATTATTAAGGTTATCATTTGTATTATCATGTGTGCCTTCAAGGGTTGTCATCATGTTCATATCTGTGATAAAAATTGTGCAATTGCGAACAGTAGCCACTTAAGGTATTGACAAGTAATAGGAATACAGGTGACCATGCCGACAGTCCCTACAAGGAACATTTGTCACATATTTGTGACACCAGCACACAAAGAGTTAATGAGAATGAAGGCCTTGTGTCTTGTGGTTACTCTTCAAAGATACCAATATTTTCCTTTTTAAACTGAATAACTATGACGGATATTGTTTTTCATTTGTTTTGTAGGTATAATTACATCTGTCACATATTGGCCTGCTAAGCTGAAGCATTCTGGAAAACACGTCATGTTCCGTCTTCAGTTTTGGGATGCTGGTCATGCTGTACAGAGGAAGTTTGATCACATTCATCCAGTAAGTCTTTTTGAATTAGGAGATGGCACTTTTCCACAGATCATCACGATCAGTATTTTGTTTGTAAACTATCAATGGGTTAGGGTTCTCTGTTATAAGAGATGTAATGGCAACATGAATACTTATCTCTGTAAAAGTACTATTTCAGACCAAAATATAGTCCACCTGAAATATGTCAGTAAAATTATATAATGTATTTAATTAGTATTACTAATTAAATACATTATATAATTTCATTGACATATTTCAGGTGGATTATATTTTTTATATATTTTCATATTTGTCAAAAATATTAAACATTTTTGACAAATATGAAATGCTGTTTTAGTTTAGAATGCTTGTAGAAGCATGGTTAATTTAACACCATACATGTATGATGTAACTTCCAAAAATTAACTTATATTTGTTCTTTTGGTAAAGATAATGTATTTACAGTATCTACCTCACCAAAGATGGTGACGGAGGCATTATGTTTTAGGGTTGACCGTCCGTCCCGCTTTCTTGTCATTGCGATATATCTCAAGAACCACTTGAGGTATAAACTATTTATCGCCATAGGAAGTCAATGTTTATAAATTTTGGGTAAGAGGTTCACAGGTCAAGAATGATTTGAGCCATGAACTCTAAACTTTTTCTTAGTATGCATCGCCATAGCTAGAGAAACTGAGTCAATTTGGGGTTAAGAAGGTCAAAGGTCAGCAAGTCAATATACCAGAAAAACTTAAGGCTTTTAACCATGTTATCACGGTCACCATATCAAGAACAAATTTTAGCTATTTTAGCCGGAGAACTTAATACCTGTTTAGTACTAGTATGCATCATCATAGGAAAGTCTAAATATCAATCGCCATGTGACCTTTACATGTATGTTCTCTTCAGATATTTCAAGAATAATTCAAGCCATGATCTAAACTGAATTTATATGGAGGCATATTTGAAATGCAGTCTCATTTGTCTTCTTTTAATATCAACTACTGTTCGCTGCATTTGATGATTTTTTTTTTTTATGATGTCCTTTTTATAATTTCATAATTAGATTTTGAATAGTAACAGAGCATGAAGAAATGGAAATTGACAAAAAGACATTATAATGAGAATTTTAGGATAATAAACTTCTTATTTCTATTTCTTGTGAACTCCAAATGAAAAATTGCCCCCTTAACCAAGATTTGGACCTTTACAATTTTTCATTTCACTAACTCCAAAGTAGTAATATCACCCAAAATCCCTTGTGTTTGTTATAGCTGGGATGTGGTAGGAAAGGAAATGCTCTCCAGATAATTAAAATCTTTCTCACTTCACTAACTCCAAAGTAGTAATATCACCAAAATCCGTCTTTTGATCAGTCTGTTGCTATTATTTTTGTCTTATATTTTTCAATCTACTGCATCCATCCTTTTTCATTTTCATTTTCATTTTCATTTAAAATTTATTTTTGTATCTTCATTACAATGTAGGCTTGCCGGGAGAAGGCCCAAGCAGTGCTTTACTTCTTTTCCTTCATTGACCGTTCTAGCTTTGAGGATTTGAGGACACAGTTTTCCAAGTCATTGTCGAATGAAGATACACCTCTTCTAGTTGTCATTGGTACTAAGTATGACCAGTACAATCGCAGTGAAATTACATCAAGGGAGCTACTTGATTTCCAAAAGCAGTGGCAGGTGCCAATTCTTAAGCTGAAGAATGTATTGAAACCCACAGAAACTAATGCTCTCTTAGCTGGTGACTCTTGTGCTGAGATTGATGACGTTGCCCCAGTGATGAATACACTGGTGGAATACCTATGGATTCATGATCAGGTGCTCTCTGGGAATATAGAGTTAAGTTCAAGTCCAAAGCTAAATACCTCAAGAGAAGAAGAGACACACTCAGCTAGTGATAGAGATAGTGATGAAGATGAAGCAACTTATGTCTGATAAACTCTGATAAAGACCCAGGAGATATCAGAGTATTGGAGTATCTAGACAGAGATGCAAAATGAAGGTTGCTATGTCTAAAATACTCTGATAAATATCCAAGAGATATCAGCTTATTGAAGTATCTAGATGGACATGAAAACAAAGGTTGTTTTGTCTGTAATACTCTGATAATGACCCAGGAGATATCAGCCTATTGGAGTATCTAGACAGAGATGCAAAATTAAGGTTGTTATGTTTCTAATACTAAGATAAAGACCAAGAAGATATCATGGCATTAAAGTATCTAGACAGAGATGAAAATGAAGGTTGTTATGTCTGTAATACTAAGATAAAGACCAAAAAGATATCATGGCATTGAAGTATCTTATGCAGACAGAGATGAGATGTCTGTAATACTAAGATAAAGATTCAAGAGATATGAGCTTATTGAAGTATCTTATGCAGATAGTGATGAAAATGAAGCTTGCTATGTCTGTAATACTCTGATAAAGATTGAAGGTATATCATGGCATTGAAGTATCTAAAAGGACATGATAATGAAGGTTGTACTTGTTACGTCTGAAATACTCTGATAAAGATCCAAGAGATATTATGGCATTGAAGTATGTAGATGGACATGAAATGGAGGTTGTTATGTCTGAAATACTCTGATAAAGATCCAAGAGAAATTAGCTTATTGAAGTATCTAGAAAGAGATGAAAATGAAGGTTGTTTTGTCTGTAATACTGTGATAAAGATCCAAGAGATATTATGGCATTGAAGTATCTAGAAAGAGATGAAAATGAAGGTTGTTTTGTCTGTAATACTGTGATAAAGATCCAAGAGATATTATGGCATTGAAGTATCTAGAAAGAGATGAAAATGAATGTTGTTATGTCTGTAATACTCTGATAAAGATCCAAGAGATATCAGCTTATTGAAGTATCTAGAAAGAGATGAAAATGAATGTTGTTATGTCTGTAATACTGTGATAAAGATCCAAGAGATATTATGGCATTGAAGTATCTAGAAAGAGATGAAAATGAAGGTTGTTTTGTCTGTAATACTGTGATAAAGATCCAAGAGATATTATGGCATTGAAGTATCTAGAAAGAGATGAAAATGAAGGTTGTTTTGTCTGAAATACTGTGATAAAGATCCAAGAGATATTATGGCATTGAAGTATCTAGAAAGAGATGAAAATGAATGTTGTTATGTCTGTAATACTGTGATAAAGATCCAAGAGATATTATGGCATTGAAGTATCTAGAAAGAGATGAAAATTAACTTAGTTATGTCTGTAATAATAATAATAGTAATAATAGGCATTTCTATAGCGCCGTCTATCTAGATAATTCTATTCCGAGGCGCATTTATTATTTCCCAGGCTTTAGCCTTGCTGCCGTTTATACAGCGCTCCAGCATTTCAAGGAAATAATTCCTGCCAGGTACCCATTTACATCACCTGGGTTGAGTGTGGCAAGTGTAGATCAATATCTTGCCAAAGGACATTAGTGCCGCGGCGGGACTCGAACCGCGGACCTTGCGATTCGACAGTCCGGCAACGTATCCACTTGACCACGACACCTATATTGTACTGTTAAAGATCCAAGAGACATAGCACTGAAGTATTTAGATAGAAATAAAAAAAGAATGTCGTTTTGTCTGAAATATACTGATAAAGATCCAAGCGAGATCATGGCATTGAAGTATGTAGATAGAGATGAAAATGAAGGTTGTTATGTCTGAAATACTCTGATAAAGACCAAAGAGGAATCATGGCATTGGAGTACACATTTTGAGATTTGTTTTTACTTACCGGTATTGTAAACAGCTTGATTATTCCAAGACAGATTTTGGTCAATAATGAAACCTAGGTACTCAACATACTTAATTTTTTATTTTATTTCCCACCATCAATGAAAATATCGCACTCATCCATTATATGCACTGTTTTCAAACATTGTTGTGTATCAATAAACGTTTAATTAACATTTCTGTTAGTTTACCATAAATTTAGTGTCTTTTAACCAGCTTGAAAGTATTTTTAAGTCTTCATTTATTCTTTTTACGATTTCCCTTGGATGTTTTGATGAGGTAAATAGAGACATGTCAGCATATAATGATAATTCACTCTTTACAATGCTTGGCATGTTATTTACAAACAGACAATAATAAGGGACCTAGTATAAGTGTCCTGGGGACTCCACATGTTACCTGTTTTCAATCAGATGTACATGTATTACGATTAACAGAAGTGAACTGTTTCCTTTCATCAAAGGAACTTTGAGACTATTTCAGTGTGGGTTGACAAAACCATGCACTTCCATATTTTTTGGTAGGATACAATGATCCACAGTATCAAACGCCTTTTTAAGGTCGATCATTACCAGACCAACAATCTTCCCACAATCAGTTGTAAGTGTAAATCTAAATGATATTTTCCATTTTTTTTAACAGTTCATGAAATCATAAACGAAAACAAAAATATCCCCCCCTCCCAAAAAAAAATAGAAATGCATCGTTAATAAAATTAGCTCACAGCTTAGGTTATTTATAGATAATTTGAATACACTGTTAGTTGTCAATATCTATTTCTCAGTTTCATTTGTATTTTGCAAAACTGATTAGAGAGGACATTGCCCCGTGGTATATAACAGTGGCTGCCACTCCTATCCTATCTATCAGCAAGTGTCAACTTAATGGCAGCAATCGCCCTATACTTTGCAATTACCAATGACTCTTTTCTATTCTCAATTTATATTTCTTTTGTAAATCAACAATTGTCAACTTAATTTAGACAATGACCCCGTGGACTGCAATTACCAATGACTATTTTATATTGCCGATTTCACACCAATACTTGTATGCTAGATGATGAACCTTTTCGAATTGATTCTATAACGTTATTCGTGTATATTTCTCATGTATGATAACAAAAGCATGAGATTGACCAACTGACACAGGTTATGCCACATAGTAGTGAATAGTTGATTTTTTTTTTTTAATTAAAAATTAAGATAGTCAAGATGAGAGCCTTAACAGTAAACGTCAAAAGGACATGATCCATTTTTGAAACATTGTATGAACAAACAAATCAAAACAAAAATATGTCAAAGGGGCTATTAGCTTACAACTTAGGTTATTTATAGATAAATGCGTAAACACTGTTAGTTATTCATCTTGTAGTATTTTCGTCATTTTATCCTTCTTCATTTCTCAATTTCATGTGTTAATCTGCAAACCTGATTTGGGAGGCGATGCCCTGTGGTATATTGTAGTAGATGCCACTCCTATCCTATTTATCAACGAGTGTCAAATTGATGGTGGGAATGGCCACGTACAGTGCCAAGTGTCAATTTAATGGCTGCTATTACCAATTAATGACTCACTCTTATCTCCCGGCAAAGGCCATTTTTCGTAATGTAACCAAACTTAATGCATAAGTCTTTGTGAAGTGCCTCAATACAAATTATATCATTTACCTGATAATAATATTAGTATTTTAAAAGACAGAATCCGAACTGCATACAGATGGTGTATAATATGCGACACAAAAAGTTCTTCGATATTGGATTATAACACTTTCAGATGGCTATTATTTATACATTGTGTGTATTACATTAAGGAGGTATTACTTCAGGAAATTAAACTTTATAATTCCCGTTGAAATAAACCAAATGACGATGAAAGAGATCATAATAAGAGCAATCATTTTGTCTACTGTGGATAGATCGTAAAATTGTTATTAATTGCGTACGTCGTTTATCATAAACAACAATATCACTTGAATAAGTTAGGAAAGAACAAATCCTGGAAGAGGCCACGTGCATGATAGAACATCCATTTCCAATGAGGAAAAGCATGAGTTGAAAAGTAGATCTATCTGACAATGGCTTTTGCCAAAACATCGATTGATATTGAAATGGCCACAAACTTAACGGGTAAAAAATATCTCCATTGATTGAGTGAAGAAGTCTTTTTCTAAATTGAGTGTTATCTGTTCTTGACCGTTGTTTAGCTACATCTGCTAAATGTGATATTTCATCTACTAATATTGCTGTCACGATAATACCAGCCATCTCCAAAACAGAACACAAGCAAAACAAACGCAAAACTTAAACACACCAAAATTGTTACTATTTACAAAAGATGTAAATATTTCTCAATATAACAACAATTCTGAAACTAATATGTAGAAATTGTATCATCATGCATGCATGTAGAACGTAGTTATTCTTGGTGATCTCCAATCATTGTTATGTTTTCTTTTACATACAAAGCATTACATTTGCACCGTAAAGTTTTGGAGTCAACGTGCTTCTAAAATCCTTCAGTTGAAATGATGTATCATATTATTAAGCAAGACAAAGCAAGCGTTGATGTGCACCGTAAATTCTTGAAGTCAACGTGTTTCTTAAAAATCGTTCACTTGAAATAATGTATCATGTATATAGACAAGAAATATATCCATATGAACAACACAAAGCGAGCATCGATTTGGGTTGCTCGAGGGTACGAATGGTGCCGATGTTCAATTTGAGTGGATGCATCATTTACTAAGGTATGAACTTGAATGTTTTTATCCAAATGTGAAGTTTGAGAAGCCGTCTTATTTAAATCATATTTCTCCAGTGAAACGTGCAGATGGAAACGTGAGGAAAAACAGCTATTAAATATTCACAGTAGGCCTAAATGAACTTGCATTCAAAGTCAGAATATGAACACAAAACAGCTGCATGAAACAGCTGTACAAAATGCCAACATAGGTTAACATTCAACCTTGTTCCAGATGAACTAAAAACTGTTAGATATCCTTAAACCATAACATATTCTTTGATGCCATGATGTTAAGAAAATGTCGCACAAATAAATGGGTCCGTATTCGTATAAACAAAATAAAGTATAAAATGTCCTCAATCAAACTCCAGTTTTTTTTCGATGGAATAGAGAACAAAATAATGATATACCACCTTGATGTAAAGGCAGATTAAAGCAGATCAGTGTGGCCAGATTAATATCCTATTCTTAGAATGCTCTAAACCTGGGGGGGGGGGGGGGCCGAGGAGGGCGCTAGTTTTGGTTTTGACGAGATACTCCCGATGAAACCGCTAAACTCAATTCATTTCTAAGGGCTGTTTTGGCGGTAAAGGGGTTCCATTATCAGTGTTTTAAAAATAATATTGTTACCACAAATCACCTTTTCTGCCGCTTGCCCTTTATTAGCATCTGGATCACCAGAATAATAATAATAATTAGATTATTCTAATGATGCTGATGGAGTGCAAGCGCCAGAAAGCTTGATTTGTGGTAACTATTATTGCTAATTAAGGCCCTTCTCTATATAATCTCTCTTTTGATGACAAGTATTATGATGTCGCAGAACAGCAAACGTAAATCACGGAGGCTGATCTATTTATAATAAATATAATATATACCATCTATTTTGCACATTTTCAATGTCTTAAGGAATTTCATGTGATTTATGAAAATGTTTTCTTTTTGAAATGAAGTTATTGTTACCGTTATGAATATATTATTTGTCACTTGAATCTTCATAGACTTTTCCTAAATAATCTAATCTTTATACAACGATGCTGTTTTTTTTAGATCTTTGTCTATTTATGTGATCTTTGAGATCAAAATAAAGTCTGATACAGTGGAAAAAAGGGCAAACTTTGAGATAATATTCTTCTAGTGTTTGTTTTTTCGTTTTCCTTAAATACAATCACATGCACTTTCTATAACCTCTCTATTGGTAGGCCTACTTCTCTTTCTTTGTGTTTTTTCAATATCTATTCTTTCATTAATCTTTTGCTCAAATATAGACTTTAGATTTATTATTTTGGTCCATATTTTCTTTCCTAGTCTTTCTTAGATTTCAAGATTAAACTATGGTTTCCTAATTAATTTTTCAGTTTATCGGTTGATGATGGTCTAAATTTAAACTATAATTGTAATAATCAACGATTACGTTACATCAAATAACACCCCAAATCAGGGGCGTAAATCCGTACCGAGGAGTGGGGGATGATCGGCGATAGCCATCAGAATACTAGCACGAGCACACGCCCACACTAATTTACGCAAGCGCGCGCGATCGCGCACGCACAAACACACACAACACACACACGCACACACACACACACACACACGCACGCACCACCTCACACACACACACGCACACACACAAACGAACAAACAACAAACAATATTGGAGAAAGAAGACGATTCGTTGTACCGTTCTCGAAAATAATCCTCGTCTGAATTCAGTTCCCGCCCCCCCCCCCCCCCTCCCGCGGAAGCTTTTACGTTTCCTTAAATCATTAGAGAAAGAAGACGATTCGTTGTTCCGTTCTCGACTTTTAATTCTCATCTGAGTTCAGTTTTTCCCTTCCCCCCTCCTGCGCGAAGCGAAGCGCGGAAGCTTTTACGTTTCATTAAATCATTAGAGAAAGAAGACGATTCGTTGTACCGTTCTCGACTCTTAATCCTCATCTGAATTCAGTTTTTCCCTCCCCCCTTCCGTCCCTTGCGAAGCGCGGAAGCTTTTACGTTTCATTAAATCATTAGAGAAAGAAGACGATTCGTTGTACCGTTCTCGACTTTTAATCCTCATCTGAATTCAGTTTTTCCCTCCCCTTCCGTCCCTTGCGAAGCGCGAAAGCTTTTACGTTTCATTAAATCATTGGAGAAAGAAGACGATTCGTTGTACCGTTCTCGCCTTTTAATCCTCATCTGAATTCAGTTTTTTCCTTCCCCCCCCCTTCCCTTTCGCGCGAAGCGCGGAAGCTATTACGTTTCATTAAACCATTAGAGAAAGAAGACTATTCGTTGTACCGTTCTCGACTTTTAATCCTCATCTGAATTCAGTTTTTCCCTCCCCCCCCCCTTCCCTCCCTTGCGAAGCGCGGAAGCTTTTACGTTTCATTAAATCATTAGAGATCGAAGAAGATTCGTTGTACCATTCTCGACTCTTAATTTCTTTAAAAAGGGGGAGGGTTTTTTTTCTCTCTCTCTTTGGTCTCCTGAGAAATGTAAAAAGGAGGTTATAAAATATCTTGAATATCATAGAAAAATTGATCAAATCCCCTGATCAAATTTCTGCAATTCCTGCTAGCTGTAAGCTCATTTAGGATTATTTCATTTTGAAAAGTAAAAGCATTGGCCCCCAGTCCCCCTCGATCGACTAGAGCTCACCTGAAATTCGGGGGGGGGGGGGGGGATGTGGTACATTTAGCAGTGTTCCGGATTGGGGGGGGGGGGGTCTCCAAGGTAGGAAAAGCCAGCGAAAAGCCGACGAAAGGGGGATTCAGAAATGTTGGCAGTCCTGAGATAGGGTGGGGGATGCTTTCAAAGGGAGGGAACGAGCGTACTCGTACCCTAGATAAAACTAAGTTGGGGGGGGGGGGGGGGGGGAGCCGGGCATCTACTGTACATGATTGCACTTTTTAAGCGCTCGCGAGCTGGCGCACTTTACGTGTGGGCTATAATAATACCTTGCAAAATAACGAAAAATTATTCTGAAGTTTACGAAGTGCTTGTTCGCGCACGTCGCGCAACTATAATGACCGTGACATAATGTATACGTGTAGGCTATACAGTTATACATACATAAACAAAATAACTAATTTCTCATGCATTATGCTAACCTTGAAACAATTACATTTTTTCTTCTTCTTCCTTTTTTTTTTCTCTTTTTTTTTGTAATATCAGGGGGGGGGGGGATGATTGTACAGGCCATCCCCCCTACTTCAAGCCAGGGGGGATGCAGCCCCCCCCCATCCCCCGGACGATTCGTTGTACCGTTCTCGACTCTTAATCCTCATCTGAATTCAGTTTTTCCCTCCCCCCTTCCGTCCCTTGCGAAGCGCGGAAGCTTTTACGTTTCATTAAATCATTAGAGAAAGAAGACGATTCGTTGTACCGTTCTCGACTTTTAATCCTCATCTGAATTCAGTTTTTCCCTCCCCCCTTCCGTCCCTTGCGAAGCGCGGAAGCTTTTACGTTTCATTAAATCATTAGAGAAAGAAGACGATTCGTTGTACCGTTCTCGACTTTTAATCCTCATCTGAATTCAGTTTTTCCCTCCCCCCCCCTTCCCTCCCTTGCGAAGCGCGGAAGCTTTTACGTTTCATTAAATCATTAGAGATCAAAGAAGATTCGTTGTACCATTCTTGACTCTTAATTTCTTTAAAAAGGGGGAGGGTTTTTTTTTCTCTCTCTCTTTGGTCTCCTGAGAAATGTAAAAAGGAGGTTATAAAATATTTTGAATATCATAGAAAAATTGATCAAATCCCCTGATCCAATTCCTGAAATTCCTGCTAGCTGTAAGCTCATTTAGGATTATTTCATTTTGAAAAGTAAAAGCATAGGCCCCCAGTCCCCCTCGATCGACTAGAGCTCACCTGAAATTCGGGGGGGGGGGGGGGAGGGATGTGGTACATTTAGCAGTGTTCCGGATTGGGGGGGTGGGGTCTCCAAGGTAGGAAAAGCCAGCGAAAAGCCGACGAAAGGGGGATTCAGAAATGTTGGCAGTCCCGAGATAGGTTGGGGGATGCTTTCAAAGGGAGGGAACAAGCGTACTCGTACCCTAGATAAAACTAAGTTGGGGGGAGGGGGGGGGGGGAGCCGGGCATCTACTGTACATGATTGCACTTTTTAAGCGCTCGCGAGCTGGCGCACTTTAAGT